TCCTATGGAGACTTCTATAAAATAGTGAATTGTTTTGACAATTGACAAAAAGTGCAGTTTATAAAGTTGATATGTAATCCAAGATTATTGCTTATATGTGATATCTTTTATAGGAATAAAAGGTTTGTTGATAGTTATTAGGTTATAGTTGGGTAGGAGAAATAGTTTCTGGTGTTCTATTATATAGTAGGGGGCCTATTGACAGTGATAATACACTGCATATTTTAGAGAAGCCAGAAGAGGGGATTGTGAATACCTTTTTTCCATGGGAAAAATGGTAAGTGTTTGAGGAGATAGATATGTTTACCCTGATTTGAACATTATATAATGTATACACACATTAAATGTTCATATTATATTCTGTAATTAAATACCATTTTTATAGGTTAATTTTAAAAATGATATTTTTTTGCTGGTACTGGAATTTGAATTCAGGGCCTTACACTTGTTAGGCAGGCACTCTACCACTTGAATTATGCCTCCAGTCTCCCCAAAAGAGATGTTTTAACAAAATTTCTGAATTGAATGGATGTGGTATTTTAGTCTGTGTGTAATGGTTTAGGGGCTATGTAAAGAAATACTGAAACAAGAGTAGACAAGGGAATTCATATGCTGTTTTCTTAGATATCTAGTTGTAGAATGGCTAAAATTAGTTGGTCCTAGAATATTTCATGGTCTTTAATAACTTTTTTTAGAGTGGAGGTTTACCTTTTTGTTACATTTTCATTTCTTTTTCACTTTATTTTTGCTTTTATTTCTGTGTGGATGTAATGGTGGATGAATTTTACAGAGTATAGCAAAGAGGGGGTGGCTACATGATACCCATTAAGCTCACTAATTTTATGCTTTCAAAATACATTTGTATTTTTTAATCCCAAACTGCCTTCAGTCTGCACATTTAGACATGTATTTTGAAAAGATACTGCAGTTAGAAAAAAAACCAACATGATTTTTGGGGAAAAAAGCAGATTAGGCTTTGTAAGATCTTAGTTCTAATTTGATTGTCTGACCCTTGACTGTGTAACTCAGAAAAGTTACCATGTATTGGAGTGAAACCTTAGAAATATTTCAAACCAGCCCTGTCCCCCTATGGATGAGGAGTTGATGCCCACAGATACTGGGAACAGAGTGAAGGTAAAAAATTTTGGCAGTGCTCTGGGGATGGAGCTTAGTGGTAGAATGCTTGCCTACCATGTGTGAGACCCTGGTTTTGATCCTCAGCACCGCAAGAAAAAAACTTTTTTTTGGCAGAGTAAAATGGAGGTTTCCTGACTTCTAGGCCCTGTGTCCTTTCTTTTTTATCAGCATTTTAAATTGTACTGTTATATATACTGTATATATTTACACATCTATATACACATATACATGCAATTATATATATAATAGTCTATATGTATATATGTCCACACATGTTCAAAATAAATCCATGTTTAGTATCTATGTATCTTTCTACACAATGTCATACTGCAGTCTTGTCTTTTTAGATAACTGTAAGCGAATAAACAGCATATACTCATTTTTCCCTCAAACGTCAATCTGGGCGCTGGGCATACGGTATCTGCTGTATGAATACGTTCAAAAGAATTCAATTAAAGGAAGACGGACGGGACGGCCGCCGTGGATCCGTACCAGGCTTTCGCCCTCTCCGTGCGCTCTGAGTCCGCTCCGGATCCGGGCCAGGACATAGGGGCACCGCGGCGCAGGTTCTCTGTGGCTCCAGCAGCTGCGGCAGCGCCTGTCACCCCTGTGGACTTCGGGGTGAGTTTGTCTGCGGGCCCCGCGGTGCTGTGCGGGTGGGGGAGCCGGCCCGCCGGCCGGAGGAAGGAAAGACTCAGCTGGCGGCCGCAAGGAGCAAAGGACTCGAGCTGATGGGTTCTCCCCGAGGAAGTGGGAGGAGGCGGTCAGAGCCCAGAGTAGGAGTCTGTTGCCAGGCAACCCGCAGACGCGGCGGGGCGAGGGAGGCGCAGTGGTGATGTGGGGCCGAGGAGGATTACTCGGTTGAATATTTTGAAATTAGGAATGACCTTACGTTCAATTTCAGATCCCTGGCTCTGTTGTCACCTGGGATAGATAGGCTTGGCTCCTGCCTTCATGGAAATTAAGTACTAAAGTCTATCAACAAATCTTTTTTCTGTTTCCTTGTTTACGAGATGGGTTAGTTTGATTTATTCTTTCCTTTAAAATATGTTCTGGACTGGAGGTGTGGTTCAAGCGATAAAGCCCTGAGTTCAAACCCCAGTCCTACAAAAAAAAAAAAAAAAAAAACGTTCTGATTCGGTATAAGCAATTTAATAGGCACAAATATTACTTACCAAGAGAATAATCTTAATTGGAATTGGAAATAATCACTGTTTAAAAAAAGGGGGAAAGATAGTGAGTTCAATTCTTTTGGTGGCACCAAAGATATGAGTCATCAGTATTTATTACACGACAGAAACAACATTTCATAACCTGTAGCCATTCAGAAAGGCCCTTTCCTTTCCCTGCTGTCCCTTAAGCCCTGTGGATATTCAGCGCTTTGGGACAAGAGTCCCTGGCATATATTTCAAAACTCTGCTCGCAGCCATTTGTTTGAAATGCTGACTCTTAGAGTCACTAAGTTTAAGTTTCTGGTCTTCTTTAGTACTTAGAGCCAATTCCCTTCTGCTGCTTCTATTATTTGCACTAGCGAGAGTACAGCTATTGGAGAGACTTTGGATACAAATATGCAAGTATTGAGAAGAGATCTGAAACCTTTGTATGAAGTCAGGCTGGGCCTCAGCTTGCTCAGTTTGACAATCAGAAGGTTGAGCTGTCTGTATTTTAAGATTCTCTAAATAGGGTGTTGATGGCTTGAGTGCTCTAGTTCTATAAATCCAAGAGTGTTCCACATATGATGGAAACGCGAGTGGTATTTCCCTGAGAACGCTTTTTGCTAGATCTGAATTAATCATTTTATTCTATGTAGTTCTAAGTTAAACCAGATCTGAATCAACCGAATTTACTTATTTAACAAATACTGAGCTCTTACTATTTTTTAGGCTTTTTGCTAAATCTTGAGATATACAGTGAGCAAAACTGGTCGGCCTTGCCTTTATGAGTCTTGCAGTCTAATATTGAAGAATAATCCGTGCCATTTAATGTTATAAATATGTAATTGTGTGTAGACAGAATTTGTGTGTTGGCATGTGATTGTTATAATTAGGTGCAGAGAAGTGAAATTAACCTAAAAGTATGTTTAAAGTAGCTACAGCTATTTTATTATGCATTAATTTATTTACTAAATATTTATTAAGAGCAAAGGATATCAACTTTGGTGGTCATGACGGTTTATTAGGGAAATGAAAAGAACTAATAGGATTTTTTTTTTTTTTTTTGGTGAGACTGGGGTTTTGAACACAGGACTTTGAGCTTACAAAGCAGGTGTTCTACTGCTTGAGGCACACCTCCAATCTGAAAGAACTAATTACAGGGAAGAATGTTGACTACTCAATTCCTTGAGACTAGGAGGACCTTAATTTTTTTTTTTTTTAAATTTTTGGTGGTATTGGGGTTTGTACTCAAGGCTTCATGCTCTTACCACTTGAGCCACTTCACCAGTCCTTTCTGTTGGGCATTTTTGAGGTAGTGTTTCTCTAACTATTTGCCTCCCCCCTTTCTAACTTTGATCCTCCTGATCTCTGCCTCTAGAGTAGCTAGGATTACAGGTGTGATCCATAGGTGCTGGCTGAAAACTCGAGTATTTGAGGGCTTAAATTTTACTGTTTTTATTTTTTGTAAATGAAGTATAATGATTTAAGGTGAGCCGTAATGATTTGAAATGACTGTAATAGTTCCTAAGGTATAAAATTGGGAGGCTGACAATGTGTGTGGAGAAAACCACCAAGCTGATAGTTCAGCATCCCTGTCTCAGCTTGGGTTTGTTAGCTGGGAGTCATCACGGCAAGGGCAGTATTGCGGTCACACAACAGATCTGAGCCCTACAAAGAAACAAAAACATAAACATAGCAGCTTTATTATGTTGCCTTTTTTGGTTGAAAGGTAATTGAAAAGAAAGGCATCTGCAGGATTTGTGATATTTTCAGAGTATGTTTACTACTGATTAATGAATCTTCTTGAATTTATTCTTACAGTAGAATTCCAGGTTTATGACAAGTTTTGAGATTTTATTTATTTATTTAGGAGGCTGTGGGGTGGAGTAGAGGGTGAAAGTAACCATATAGGCAAGTTAGAAAAGAGCTGGGATCACCTTTCAGGTAAGATTTCATTGGGCATGAAATTAAAGTGCATTTTTTATAATCATGATGGTTACCTCCTGTTGAATGTTACCTTGTTGCATCAGAATGAGAAAGGTGCTAACATTAAATTTATCTTATATATTAGGAATAATGGCTCAGAGAAATTAAATTCTTACACAAGCTTGAATTATGGGAAAGTGGTGAAAACCAAGATTTTAATATGTGTTTATATGAACTGGCTCTCTGCCATGGTATCTTTCTTTTTAAAAAAATGATTTACTATTGAAATGAATTCAAGCCTAATTAGAGAAAAAGAAAGTATGAATGAATTTTTAAACAAACATTACCATTTCCCTCACCAAGGGTGAGGGAAAACTAAAATTTTGATGTGACAGATACATTTATCTGATTTATTTTATATATATTGGCATAAGCATTTTTACCATCACCACACAAGCACTAGCTGCATACTCATTCTTTTATTCTTTGTATTAGATGAAGACTACATTTGCTGAAAATATTTTCATCAGCCCTCCTTGACAAAAACCAAAAACTCATAAAGGTTTGGGAAATGAGTAAAAAAATGTAGCTGTCATTGTGGTAGAGAAGAGTGACATACATCAGGCGTTAGTTTCCTATGCTGCTGTGAAAAGTTACCACAAACTTAGTAGTTTGAAATAACTAACCAGTATTATTTCCATGGAGTACTATTATGTAATTTGTATGTTTTGTTTAAAACAGATCATTTTCTGTTTTTTTTAACTCTTCAAAAGTACAGTGTACTCAATGATAAATACATACCTTGAATGGATTTGGAGATTAAAGGAGTGGTCACTTCTCCAAGGACCCAAACTCAACTGTTCTCTGGAAGAAAGAATGCATTCCAAGTATGTAAACTATGTAATCTTCCTCTTGCAGGGTGGTTCACTAAATAATTTTTTGACTTCTTTCTTCATGTTTTTATGACTAGTTACACTTGTAAGTATTTAAGATCAGTATTTCCTGGATTTGGACAATGGAGCAACTGAAACTGAAGATAATGATTGAAAATTTGTTGCTGTCTGAGCCAGTTTTATTTTTTAAAATTAAGCTTAGTTTTATTATTGGTATTAAAAATTTTTGTCTATAGAAAGTATAAAAGAAAGAAAAATAATAAAAAGAAGAAGATATCAATATTTCCTTCACTACAATGACCCTATTACATTTTGGTAGATTTATGCATAATTGGTGTATGATTATGAACTGCATATTTAATTTTGTACCCTACTTTTTAATTAATATGAACCACAGACATTTTCTATATTATTAAAAACTCTTAAAACTTTTAGTGTTGTGTTATATAATGTATAGTTTACATTCAGAGGAAGCTTAGAAGATCATAATCTAAACTTACTTTAAAATGTACACTGTGCTTATTTAAAATTGAATCTCAGCTGGGTGTCATAGCTCACACCTGTAATTCTAGCTATTCATGAGGCAGAAATCAGGAGGATTGCAGTTTGAAGCCAACCCAGGTAGAAGTTTGTGAGATCCCATCTCAATCAGTAAAAGCTGGGCATAGTGGCACATGCCTGTCATCCCAGCTAAAAGGTAAGCTTAAACAGTAGGATAGCCATCTAGGTCAGTTGAGCATAATTGCAAGCCCCTATCTCAAAAATAAGCTAAGCAAAAAAAAAAAAAAAGAGGTGGAGGCATGGCTTAAGTGGTAGAGCACCTGCCTAGCAAGAGCAAGACCCTGCCCTGAGTTCAAAGCTTAGTACTGTACTCCCTCCCCCCCGCAAAAAAAAGGACTCTCAGTGATTGGATTCTTTGGGATTTATTTATTTTGCATTTATAATATGCTTAGCACAATGGTAGATACTAAGGACCCCACAAAAATGAGATTAAAGTCTTCTCTCAAGGTGCCTCTAGTCTTGTAGGTAACAATTGTAATTTCAACACTGTTAAATTCAGCTAAAGAAATAGATACAACATACAAAGGCTCAAGGAAGAAAGGGATGTTTAAGTGGGGGAGTTATAGCTTTCAATGAGGAAAGACGTCTGTATGCATTGGAAGAGTGTATAGAATTCTGTTAATTAAAATGATAAAGAATGTGATGAGGGTAGTGATGATTATATGCTTAAAAATACAGAAATATTAAATATACTTCACCCAACTTCCTTTTTTATATTTAAAACAAAATATTTGGAAGAGTAATATCACATTAGTGTTAACTATGTAGGAAGAGAATCTGGGCTTCTATTATTAGACACTCTCTTCTCAACCTTCATGATGTCACTGTTGTGCATTTCATTGTTTAAATGCAATCTAAAGTTATTTTGTCCTTTTATCTACCACAGAGTTGGGTAAATATCACGTTTAACTTAGAAATATATAAAAGTGTTGCATATTTCCTTGCTATTCTAATTATTTCAAATGCTGAACACTTACTGATTACCAGTGACCATGACAAATGTCAGAATACCTTATATCTGTTAAATCTGAGTGGAAACTTTTGAGGTAGATACTATTATTTGCTTGCTCTTAGATACGGAAAAACTGAGGCTCCGGGAGGGTGAGTCACATGCCAGGATTTTGAACTCTAATTCTAACTTCAGGACCTATTTATGCTCTTTACTCTGGGTTCAATGGTCTCCTTATCTGAATGAATTCATGCTTTGGGATTCTCATGGCCCTTTGTGATATGGTCTGAATCTGAGTTCTCTGATGATTTGGGTCAAAGCCATTGTTAAAACGTCAAGCACAACATTGCATCCTTTGCCATAGATTATTTGGTTATCATATTACAGAAGCTTCTGTTGTTTTCCAGGTTAGCTGTTATGAGAATCTCAGGGTTTAAGCTCTTAAAAGAATGGTTTCTATAATTGCCCTTTTTGGCTGAACTGATACCTGCCTATCAGGACCGTAGAGTTAATAGTGAAGTTAGAGAAAAAGTTTATGCCTATCTTAGGACTATTGTTTCTTAAGGAAAAAACAATCCCAGATATTCAGTTTATTGCCTTTTAGAGTTTATCAGCCAGGTGTCAATACAGTTCATCCTGACTATGTATAATATAGTTTTATATATATAACTACGTAATATAGTTAATATGCTAATATATTATGTATTTATACAATATTATATAATTAATATATTAAATAGTTTTATATATCTATATAAACATATAATATAGTTGGTATTAATTCTGGAATGCTTTAAGAGGAGTTAGAATTAAAAATGAGACATAGCACCTAAACTTTTTTTTTCCTGTGGTACTGGGAATTGAACTCATAGCCTTGAGATTATTAGTCATAAACTTAAAAAAACAGTGGTACTTAGTGCTACAAATATCACGGCAAACAAAAAATGAATAAATAGGTGTAGGACATAAAAACATAGAAAGTCGTTCAGAGCAGGGCATGATGGTACTTGTTATAATTCCAGCACTCAGGAGGCAGACGAGAAGGATCATAAGTTCCAGACTAGTCGGGGCTACACAGTGAGATCCTGCCTCAAACAAACAACCTCCCAAAACACCCCCCAAACAACATAATGATACTTTTATGCCTTTAAAAAAGGTAATATTAAGAATACTCGGAACTAGAGATATTGCATTGTAAAATGGTTCATTGTTTTTTGAAATATTATTGATAGTGTGTATTATGCTATACAGTTTTTTGAATTACTTGATCTAAGCAATCCTGCTTCTGACTATATGTTGTGAGGAAAAAGATACAAAATGTAGAGAAAGACAGTTGTAAAAGGTATTCTTGAAGTGCTTTTAAAATTTATTAATTAAAAAACTTTTTTTGGCAGCACCGGCGTTTGAACTCAGGGCTTCACACTGGTGAGGCAGGTGTCCTACGGTTTAAGCCACACCTCCAGTCCTTTCTGTTCTGGTTATTTTGCCAGCCTGAACTGTGATCCACCCAATCTCAGCCTCCCAATGAAGTGCTTTTTTTAAATAGTGAAAAAAAACTGAAAGCAGTCGAGAAGTGTTAGGTAAATTGTCACACAACTTCTACATAAAGTAATTGACACAAAAATGGTAATTTCTTAAGGAATAACATAGAACTAGCATAAAAGGAGAAAACCATACACAAAAATATGCAACATTTTCTGTAAGCAGCCAGGTGGTAAATATTTGTAGTTTCGTGGATGGTAGACTCTCTGTTGCAGTTTTTTAACTTTGCAGTTGTAGTGTGAACATAGCCATATGCAATTTGTCGACAAATGAGCTGGCTATGCTTCAATAAAACTTTATTTACAAAAGCAGGGCTGTGAGTAATAGTTGCTGGCCCTTGGCTTAAGGATATATAAGCTATAAATTATCTCCATCCTAAATTGTCTAGATAAGAAAGGTAACTGCTATTCTCTTTTTTTTTATTATTTTATTATTCATATGTGCATACAAGGCTTGGTTCATTTCTCCCCCTTCCCCCAGCCCCTCCCTTACCACCACTCTCTGCCCCCTCCTCTCCCCCCCCTCAATACCCAGCAGAAAAACATATTTGTACCTTATTTCTAATTTTGTTGTAGAGAGAGTATAAGCAATAATAGGAAGGAACAAGGTTTTTGCTGGTTGAGATAAGATAGCTATACAGAGTTGACACATTGATTTCCTGTGGTGTGTGTTACCTTCTAGGTTATTCTTTTTGATCTCACCTTTTCTCTAGCCTGTTCCCCTTTTCCTATTGGCCTCAGTTGCTTAAGTATCTGCTTTAGTTTCTCTGCGTTAAGGACAACAAATGCTAGCTATTTTTTAGGTGTCTTACCTATCCTCACCCCCCTTGTGTGCTCTCGCTTTTATCATGTGCTCAAAGTCCAATCCCCTTGTGTGTTTGCCCTTGTCTAATGTCCACATATGAGGAGAACATACGATTTTTGGTCTTTGGGCCAGGCTAACCTCACTCAGAATGATGTTCTCCAATTCCATCCATTTACCAGCGAATGATAACATTTCGTTCTTCTTCATGGCTGCATAAAATTCCATTGTGTATAGATACCACATTTTCTTAATCCATTAGTCAGTGGTGGGGCATCTTGGCTGTTTCCATAACTTGGCTATTGTGAATAGTGCCACAATAAACATGGGTGTGCAGGTGCCTCTGGAGTAACCTGTGTCACAGTCTTTTGGGTATATCCCAAGAGTGGTATTGCTGGATCAAATGGTAGATCAATGTTTAGCTTTTTAAGTAGCCTCCAAATTTTTTTCCAGAGTGTTTGTACTAGTTTACATTCCCACCAACGGTGTAAGAGGGTTCCTTTTTCCCGCATCCTCGCCAACACCGTTGTTGGTGGTGTTGCTAATGATGGCTATTCTAACAGGGGTGAGGTGGAATCTTAGTGTGGTTTTAATTTGCATTTCCTTTATTGCTAGAGATGGTGAGCATTTTTTCATGTGTTTTTTGGCCATTTGAATTTCTTCTTTTGAGAAAGTTCTGTTTAGTTCACTTGCCCATTTCTTTATTGGTTCATTAGTTTTGGGAGAATTTAGTTTTTTAGGTTCCCTATACATTCTGGTTATCAGTCCTTTGTCTGATGTATAGTTGGCAAATATTTTCTCCCACTCTGTGGGTGTTCTCTTCAGTTTAGAGACCATTTCTTTTGATGAACAGAAGCTTTTTAGCTTTATGAGGTCCCATTTATCTATGCTATCTCTTAGTTGCTGTGCTGCTGGGGTTTCGTTGAGAAAGTTCTTACCTATACCTACTAACTCCAGAGTATTTCCTACTCTTTCCTGTATCAACTTAAGAGTTTGTGGTCTGATATTAAGATCCTTGATCCATTTTGAGTTAATCTTGGTATAGGGTGATATACATGGATCTAGTTTCAGTTTTTTGCAGACTGCTAACCAGTTTTCCCAGCAGTTTTTGTTGAAGAGGCTGCTATTTCTCCATCGTATATTTTTAGCTCCTTTGTCAAAGACAAGTTGGTTATAGTTGTGTGGCTTCATATCTGGGTCCTCTATTCTGTTCCACTGGTGTTCATGTCTGTTTTTGTGCCAGTACCATGCTGTTTTTATTGTTATTGCTTTGTAATATAGTTTGAAGTCAGGTATCGTGATACCTCCTGCATTGTTCTTTTGACTGAGTATTGCCTTGGCTATTCGTGGCCTCTTGTGTTTCCATATAAATTTAATGTAGATTTTTCAAATCTCTTTAATGAATGTCATTGGAATTTTGATGGGAATTGCATTAAACATGTAGATTACTTTTGGGAGTATCGACATTTTTACTATGTTGATTCTACCAATCCATGAGCTGGGAATCTCTCCACTTTCTATAGTCTTCCTCAATCTCTTTCTTCAGAAGTTTATAGTTTCCCTTGTAGAGGTCATTCACATCTTTTGTTAGGTTTACACCTAGGTATTTGATTTTTTTTGAGGCTATTGTAAATGGAATTGTTTTCATACATTCTTTTTCAGTTTGCCCATTGTTAGTGTATAGAAATGCTAATGATTTTTCTATGTTGATTTTATATCCTGCTACCTTGCTGTAGCTATTGATGATGTCTAGAAGCTTCTGAGTAGAGTTTTTTGGGTCTTTAAGGTATAGGATCATGTTGTCTGCAAATAGGGATATTTTGACAGTTTCTTTACCTATTTGTATTCCTTTTATTCCTTCTTCTTGCCCAATTGCTCTGGCTAGGAATTCCAGTACTATGTTGAATAGGAGTGGAGATAGTGGGCATCCTTGTCTGGTTCCTGATTTTAGAGGGAATGGTTTCAGTTTTTCTCTCTAAGCCAGCAATGCTGGCTGTAGGTTTGTCATGTATAGCTTTTATAATGTTGAGGTACTTTCCTTCTATTCCTAGTTTTCTTAGAGCTTTTATCATGAAATGGTGTTGAATCTTATCGAAGGCTTTTTCTGCATCTATTGAGATGATCAAGTGGTTTTTGTCTTTGCTTCTGTTGATGTGGTTTATTACGTTTATTGATTTTCATATGTTCATCCCTGGGATGAAGTCTACTTGTTCATGGTGAATAATATTTTTGATGTGTTGTTGAATTCGGTTTGCCATTACTTTGTTGAGGATTTTTGCATCAATGTTCATTAAGGAGATTGGCCTATAGTTCTCCTTTTTGGAGGTGTCTTTGCCTGGTTTTGGGATAAGTGTAATACTGGCTTCATAAAATGTTTTTGGCAGTTTTCCTTCTCTTTCTATTTGTGGAACAGTTTAAGGAGGATTGGGTAACTGCTATTCTAAAACAATTATGCCTGTGTTGTTATAAGACTGAGCTTAGCAAAACACTCTCAGGAATAATAATGACAGTGATTATGATTCAATTTAGCTTTCTAAAGTTTTTTCCCCTAAAATTAACTGATATCTTAATGGTTCAAAAATACAGTAAAGAAAATCCTTGATGTAATAAAAATTTGTCTATCTTAAACTATAAGTAATTTTTTCAATTAAGTTATCTCTTTGTAATTTTATCATTTCCACATTTAACCATTTCCTGGGATCATATTTAAAATAATGCTTTCCATAGTAAGTTGAATGTGTATTCTTTCACTTTTATGTTCAATTAAGAGTGATAAAGCTGTCTTAAATGTAATTTCTATACCTTCAATCAGTATCATTGAAATCACAAATTAGATAATATTTTATAAGTAATATTGTTTTTTGGTAAAAACAAATTTCCCCCTTATCTTTTCATCTGGCTATCTGGCTCATTCTTCAGTGTACCCTTTAAAGGTTGCCTTTTGTTTTGGAAAGCTTCCTCAGTTCCCTAGAGTGGATGGGCACACATGCTACAGCGTGGCCCTGTCATAGTCTTATTTTTCCTATTGGTGTTTGAGTTATGTCTTCCCCAGCAGACAGCTATGCAGGTGGTGATTATCTGTCTCGTATTTTATCTATATCTCAGGCACAGTGGGAAGGGGCTTAATTTTTATTTTTATATGGAATTTACTGAGAAAAATTATAATTGTGTTTACTGCACTGAGTCAGTGGTTATTTTTTAAAGTATAAAGAATATGTGCATACTGATTCTGTTTTTTTATTTCTTAATTAAAGCAAGGATGGACAACCCAGAACCCCTGCCAACCTGTGTAAGCCTGGTTTCTTCACCTCTGAACTGCTTACTGGACAAATGTTTATGACACCATGACAAGTTAAAAAATAAAGCAAAATCATATATGTTGATATGATGATAAACTACAGAAAAAACTTATCTGCATAGGAAAGTCCTGAGTATTATCAAACCAAAATTAAAATAGCTCTTGTGACAGAATGAAAGGATTGTGGGTAATAGCACTTTAAAAAATTTTCTATAATACTGTTTGCACATTTTCCTGAAATGTTTAAATATTTTAGAAAATTGGCTTTATTATGTCTTTTTAAAATTTGAATTCATTTAAAAATGGATACATAAAACACAAAAATTGTACGTATTTATGGTGTACAATAGGATTTTTTTTTGATACATGTGTACATTGCATAATGTGTAAATCAGGGTAAACATCTATCTCCTGTCTAAATACTAAATGCAGTTATTAAAGAAATATTTAACATTTTCTTTTTAAGATTGGTATAGTGAAAATTAATTTAATACTAAATGTAGCTAGGTTTAATCTTGAGGGATATGACAATTTAACCAATCTTACTAAAGTTTTATTTTTGGTTTAGAATGCATTATGTTTGTATGTTACACTTTCCAGTATTTTACGCTTTTAAAAAAATACTTGAAAGTATAATATTCAGGTACTTTAGACCACAAGTCTTCTTGGAAATTGAAATTAAATGCTTAGAGATTTGCTAGTCTGAGCCATGTGACGTTGAAATTTTTATAGATTAAAAATGAGCAAATATGATAGTTTTATGTGGTCCTTCATGACAGATTGATGTACGCCTTTCTAGACATAAAAATAGAGTTATTTTTAAGAACTAGATACAAGGCATTGAATAATGTAACAAGGAGTGTGTCAGTTCTGTTTTGCAAAATGTTTTAACAACTGGTGTTCTGAAAGTGTATCCTAAGTTTACTTCGTTATAATAAGTTAAACTATATTTTAAATTGATCACAACTTTTACTGAGAGAAAATATATGTAGATCCAAAGTGAGTGTTGGTTGATAATTTTTTTTACTGTGACGTGTTATGAGTGATCTCTTTGTGAAATCAATAGTTTTGAATACTGAAATAATATTCTGCAGTATTTTTTTTGCTATTTACTACTTGACAGCTATGTTGCATTATTAATATTTTATCCAACACATTTTTAAGTCTCAGAAATCAACAAAATAATAAATCAAATGTTGATTTATAGCAATTTGCCAATTTGTTGATTCATAGAAATTGCTGGTTTCTTTGTAAATAATACTACTATGGCAGATTTCAAGCTCTCTGGGTAAAATCAGGTGAATACAGAGGTGGAAAGAGATGTGTACAATTATATTCTGATACAGATAAACAGATGTGAAACTTCTAGAGCACACAACCACGAAGTGCAGGAAAATCATAAGGAAGTGAGGAAGTTTGAGTATGTTTTACCTTTGTTCTTGACATACTTTATTTAATTTTATATTTACATACTTTTTATTTTTAATAAGACTGTGTTTAACAGCTAGCTTGAAAAATTGCTGACCCTTTAGCAAAAACCTATTACAAGCTGGTGGAAGCCAGCACATTGGTTTCATGTGACCTTTCATACAGGATGAAACATTCAATTTGCAGTTATTAAAGCCTCATTTCGAATGTTATGAGATGCATGGATTATTTCTTTCAGGGTCCCACAACTTGATTTGGGAAGCCTTGTTGACTCTGATGATGAGGTAAGTTTTACTTGATATTTAACTTAATAAACATTTGAGCACAATATTACACACAGCATTTACTAAGTATCATTACATTTTTATTCTTTTAGGATGATTTTTCATATGCTCCACTTAGTGCAGTGCATACTTATTCTAATCCACCAAAGTCATCTCCTTTTGGTTGGGTTATGCTGTGTCAAATGCCACATAATCAGCAGAGTGGAGTGGTTAGTGTACACTCGTGTATTATTAGCTTTTAGAATTACAGTCTATAGTATTAGCATTGTACTTAATTCAGATATTTTACTATGTTTGGTCTATGCTTTGCCCACTTTAAGAATTTTATATATGGAAATCTCCAACAACAACCATGGTAGAATCATTTTGTTTTGATTTTTCACTCATAGGAATGGTATCTTTAATTTTTCTTACAAAATTGGTTAAATATAGATATATCCAAATGTGGAATCCAGGAATTAAAAAAACTGGCAAGATATTAGCTCAGATCTTACAAATTTAACAATATAAGATTATTAAATCTTATATTATTTATGTTAGTCATATGTTATTTATGTTAGGTAGTCATAACTTAAGTCACTAGGGTACTATGAAGCAGGTGAATAACTATATTTAATCTGAGGTGTCCAGTTGGAGCATGTTTCTATTTCAGACACTCTCTAGTAAATACAGGCTCTGACTACCACTGTAGGCCTTGCTTTCCTGTCTTTGTAAGTCTTTGTTTTGTTGATGTTCTTTTCATGTTCTCAGTATCATTTTTGGGAATTGGGTCATACTCTAGTCTTGGTTGGGGGTTTAGCTCATTTGCAGAGCACTTAGCAGGAATGTGCAAGGCCCTGACTTGCATCAGCAGCATTAGAAACAATAGTAACAGCAAATACCAACAACAACATCTCACTCTGTATTGAAGAGTCAATCATGATTTTTAGAAAGAAAAGCTTGGAAACATGGTTTGTGATACTATTGACCATAAGGAGGAGACTGTTTGTATACAGTGTACAGTTTTTTCCCCTGAAGCTTTGGCTCATCCTTCTTTTCTGGGTTAGACTCAACATTTTTCAAGAGTTAGATTGGCATTATTGCTCCCCTGAGAGCCCGTGTGTTCTCTGGGCCAATCTGAATGCTCTTGTATTTGCTTAGTTCTTCTTTTACGTGTCTCCTATCCACTGTCTCTATTATATCTCACTCCTGTGGAAATGTGCAGGGACCCAAATAAGACCAGAAGGTAGAATATCACAGTATTCCAGAATTAGCAACCAGTGCTTCCCAGAATTAGCAATCTCCAGTTCCTTTGACTGTTTTGGAGGAACTGATTGGCAATGGAGTTCTAGAACAGAAAAGATAATGCTCACCTAAAATTTCTAAGAAGAAAGACAAGTTTATTTTTTTTCTCTCAAATTCTTTTGGAACTAGGACTGATTTTCAGCTGTGAAACGAAGTATAGGATTGCTGGTATTTAAGGCTAAGAGCCCATTCTGAGCAGTTCTGCCTGCTCAGATTGGTCAATAACGCTGTACCAGTTAAAAGTTAAATATCACTTCTGTTTAGAACATAGATTTTAATGGTCTCTTCCTTTGGCATAAATGTTAAGGTAAATAGTAAACCCATTGATGTCAAAAGGAAAATTAAGAACTCTTCTTTTTTTTTTCTGGTGGACAACATATGTTTTCTTTTCTTTTCTTTCTTTTACCTTTAGGAACAGGACATAATACCTGAAAATTTGCCAGCACCAAGCAGCAAATATAAGCAAAAATATCAGCAATATGAAACTGAAGTGAAAGAGGGCTATAAACAGTATAGTCAGAGAAATGCAGAAAAAGCAAAATCACATATCACACGTCAACAGACTCCAAGAAACAAGACAGATAAAAGGGTAATGTATGAAGCTTTGTAAAATTTTAATGAAATTTAAACCAAATTGTGTGTGCTGTAAAAATATCTTTTTGTTGGATGTGTCTTGCTATTAGTTATAATAAGTTTAATAGCCAACATTATTTCTGTGGCCAGGGGCTACTTAATATATTTTACTTATGTTAACTACTTTATTCTTCACAAGAAATATAAAAAGTTTATTATCACCATTTTGAGATGTGAAAATTCTAGCCATATGATCTAGTCATCTTTTCTCTGTTACAAGCTTTCCCTTGCCTTGAGAGTGAAAATACAGCAGTATTAATATGTATGCTTTGATATAGTTGTCATAAACTCTGTTGATTATAGTCTAAGGTTTAAAATTGAGAAGGTGGTTTCAGACCTTAGAATGACCTGTTTTATTCAAAAACTGTCATCACTTCCTAGCTTTTTTTTTTTTTTTTTTTTTGGTGGAATTGGGATTTGAATGGCTTCAAGCTTGCAAAGCAAAAGTTCTACTGCTTGAGCCACACCTCAAGGTCCATTTTGCTCTGGTTATTTTGGAAATGGAGGTCTTGTGAACTGTTTGCCAGCGCTGGCCACGAACTCTGATCCTCCTGATCTCAGCCTCTCAAGTAGCTTGGATTACAAGTACAAGCCACTTGGTGCCAGCTTTACCCAACTGTCTTTAACTTTATTCTGGAGATTATTTTTAATCTTAAAATTGCTATACTTTCATTTAATGTTAACTAGGTGTGAACTCACCATTCACGAACATAAGAGAAAATTAACCATAATAATTTAATGGCATTTCATAAGTGTACAGGAAAAGTGAATTGTGATTTTAGAAAGAAAAGCTTGGAAACATGGTTTGTGATACTATTGACCATAAGGAGGGGACTATTTGGATATACTTTGCAATTCAGTCAACTTTCTATAGAATTATGTATTTTCAGGGAGGTTTTATGGTAGTATTTGCTTATCATTTTTCTATAAGTAAAAAAATGATACATTTATAAGCATTTGTGGTTTATCAGTTATTTTTTGAAATTCATGTCTAGAACTAAAGAAATCACAATGTTTAGATGAAAGAGTAACAAAATTAGTGGATTCATTTGGTCACTTTTGTCTCAAAGCTAATTTACCAGACCCAAACAGATACACCCAGATATGATAACCTAGTTTGTAAAATACTTCACAGGATAATTTCACAACCTTCAGCACCCAGTCATGTATTATTTTCAGATCAACCACATAACATTCAGATCACTGTAAATATGCTGAGAAAGTAGAATGCAGGTTTTCACAAGCACACGTTTATCAAGTGGTAGCAAAACAGTTCAACTTATTTTTTAAATAAAAAATTCCTTTGAATACAAGTTCAAATAAGGGCATTTGTTTACTTTTGTTTTAAGGAGAAATTGTCATTTATAAATCTTTCCATATGACTGAGAAATGATAAGTGTGAATATTTTATAGAAGCCAATCTGTATATATTTTATACCTGAAAATGATGCTATTTTTGCTTCTTTGAATTTTTTTGAGCATCCATTAAAAGTGTGAAATTATCAAACTTAATATGCTTTTGGTAGTTTTTTTCAAAGACCTTCTGTAAAGGTTCCTGTAGATTCTGAATAGAACAATCTCATACTTCGAGCAACTTACTTGGTATCTTTTTAAATATGTAGCATCATGAGAATCAAAACTTCTCTATAAATAGGCTACTAGAAAATTCTATTCAATTCATGAGCTTAACAATGCAATAGTAATATCTGGAAATAGAAGTCCTTAGTATTAGAAATGTGAGCTCTGTTTACAGAAGGGAGGAATATGTAAACCGATTCTTTTTATTGACAAGGAAAAGCTAAGGTTGGCTATATTTAGGATCCAGGACAATAAGGAAAGGCCACAGCTGCTGACTAAGCTGGCTGCTACAGGAGTTGACACCTTGTCAGTTGCAACAATAAAATAAGTGACTGCTCAACTCCAATTATAAATTTCCTTTGTTGAGGTTTCCTTCTGCTTAGTATAAAAAGGTGATAAGTTTCTTGTTGTCCAATTGCTTTGCTACCACAATGTAAACTTACCTGTGTATGTATATGAATTTAGATAATGAAATATAATATACATGTACTATATATACTATATACATGTATTTAAATAATAATGAAAAATCTTTAAATAAAATGTGAAAATTATTAAACTTCAATTTTCAGAAAATAGTGTTAACTCCTTAGTTGTACTATTGATAATCATTTTATATGTAGCTTTCTTCACAAATTCAATAAAATGACAAAGTACCTTTCAACTTTTGAAATGATCATCATAATTCATTCATTTATTGTTTATTCTATTAACAAATAGTTATTAGATGCCTAACTATGTGCGAGTTAAGAGAGGCCTTATCCGGGATAGTTAGTGAATGAAACAGACAAAAATGTCTGCTGTTACAGAATTTATATTATAATGGAAAGAGAGAGCAAGAAGAAAATAATCAATAGATGAAAACCAATCCTATGATGGATGGTGATAAATGCCACGAATAGAAGGGAACAGGGAAAGCCAGGGCTCTAAGTAGGGGGTAGTGCTCTGCATAGGCTCACCAGGGGAGACCTTCTGATAACATAGCATTTTAGCATTCACCTTAAAGAGACAGAAGACAATCAGTCAGGAGAAACTAAGTGTTATGAAGTAGGAATGGTCATGCAGTGTTTAGAAACTGTGGAGGAAGGTTACTAGTACGATGTGAGGAGGAAGGAGAGCTAGGAGGGCTGAAGCAACTGGTTATGAAGTAAACAGGAGCCTGGGAGGCAGATGAGAGACACTACAGGCCATGTTAAGGAGCTTGGCCTTTTACTCTGAGGCAGAAAGGTACTTTGTTCTGTTGAGAATTAAGATAGGGCAAAACTAGAAGCAGGAAGACCTTTGAGACTGGCACGATAACCCAGGCAACACATGATGATGATTTCTCATGAAATCAGATTCTGTCTGGCCTCTGAAGGTGGGGCTAACTTGCTGATAGGTTGATTGTAAGGCCTAAGAGACAGAGAAGATAAAGAGTGGGCTGCACATGGATGAACCTGTAGTCACTTATATGTGGTTGTCAGAGGCCTGATTTTGGTGGGTATGGGGAGATGTTTCAGTTATATCAGGTAAATAAATTTTGGAGAACTGATGTATACATGGTGACTATAATTACTAATACTGTACTTTTTACTTGCAATTTGATAAGAATAAATTTTAAGTATTCTTATCTTCCATACTCATTGTAATGATGTGTGCCGATGGACGTGTTAACTTTATTATAATTATTACACTCTACATAATATATCAAATCACCATGCTGTATTCCTTAAACATGTAAAATTTCTATTTACCAATCAAGTATTTTAAAATTAAAAAATGAATCCCTTCTTGCTTGAGCAATTACCATTAGCTAGAATTTGGGAAAGACTACATGGAAGTTGACTTTAGGAGGTCAAAATTGATATACCAAGTAGAAATGTCACTGCTTTTCTTTTGTGAAATGTTAAAAGCAAAGTGAAATAAAATAAAGTCCTTTTGAAAGATTTTTCAACCTCCATATAATGCAGAGCTTTGCTTATACTTAAATATATCTATTAAATTAATCTGCTTACTTTACCTTAGCATTGGCTAAGCGTGTTTTTGGTTCTGTTTAAAAAAATCCTTGTTTAGGAAAAACAGGTCTGTTAGTGGATAAATAAGTAAAATTATAAAATATTCTCATACCTTGGTTTGCAAATAGTAAATACTTCTCTGGCACCACGGATACAGTGTTGAGAAAGTTTCCACTGCTGTGGAATTTATAGTAGGAGGTACAGGCAGTGAACAGTAAAGAAATGCATCATAAAATCTCATGTAGCAACTAAATGTCATGAAGACAGGGAAGAGTACAAAGGTGGCATGTGACCTTTTAAGAAAGACCTAAAGTAAGAATAAAGCCTGGGAGAAAACTCATTAACTCTGTTAAGCTTTTGGCCAATTGCTGTCATATTGTGAGTTTCTTCGGTTAAGGTATTTTAAGCACATCTTATGTTCATAGTACAGAACATAAGAAATCTCAGAGTCCTTTACCTCAAAAAATTATCCCCATGTTTTAGTACTTAACTTCTTGAATTTAATTTCATGTGTAATGATCCACATTTGTTAATTTTACAAAGACTCAACCTGGGCAATAATAGCTATAATAGTTTGTGTGTTTTGTTTAATGTTTACTGTGTGTCAAGGTACTTTTTATAAGTGTTGGTTATATATCTCATTGAATCATTTTTATTGTGTGCAGTTGTTACTATTATTCCCATTTTGTCTATGACTAAATGAGGCACAGAGAGGTCACCTGCATTCAAAGATGAGCAAATGACAGCTGCATTCAGACAGGCAATCTGATTTTCAGAGCTTGTTACTCTTCTATCAAATGATCAGTGAGCTATTCAGTGGTTACTTCTTCCCTTATTTTTGTAAAACATATTGTAAATATGCATGTGATGATTAATTTATTGCTTTCATGTACAGTGTGATCAAGGTGAAGAAGCCAGCATGGATGACCTTACAATTTTGGATAGGAAAGCCCTCTTACAGCTAGGTTATGCAGACAACCCTTACCACGCACAACATAGCGCAAAGAAATCAGACGCAGTAAGTCCTCAGCACATTTTTGCTTATTTAATAAATCATTAAGATAATATGTATTACAATATTTCATAGAGTTATAATTGAATAAATGCAGCAATTGAATTTGGACTGAGATGAGAATTCACTAATATGCAAGCCAAGTCCTTACTTTTTAAAATAAACAATTGACTTGAGTTTGTATATTTTCTGTGGAAAAAATTGTCTTGAATCTTCATAATTTGTAAAAATTTGGTTTATACTACTCAAAGTGTTAGTTGGTCACCAATTATGCCAGTGGGCTTCTTTGGCATCACCCCTTCCCCTCATGAAGTAACCTGATTATTTTCTTGAAATTCATAAGCTACTAACACAGAAATTCTGACAAGGTAAGAAAAATGCTAGGAATAAAAAAATGAAGCAAAATTTTGTACTTTCAATGCTAACTTTAAATTATGTATTTTTCAAAATAAATTAGGTTGATTAGTATTTCTTAGTCTAGTTCTGTTATAACTATAACATTTCTCTAGTGTCCTTTAGTTATGAACGAGCAAGATGCCCCCTCAAAACTCCCAGGGGATTAATATCTTTGACATCCTGTAAAGGTTGATGAAATACCAAGGTGATGGCTTTTAAAAAGTTATATTATCATTACCATTGAAGGAAAGATCAATATATATTTTGTTTGGATTGTGATTATACAGCATCGATATATTCTGAATTGGCAGCAATATATAATGAATCACTTGACCAGGTAGACTGATTTTTTATGGATGTCCCAAGTTACAAATTTGTTACAGTTTCTTCCAGTGAAACCACATGCATATAATTTTCTATGTCTATTTTTATTCAGGTATTTATGCTTAATAGAATAAAGAGTATTATCCAGGTTATCATACAAATAACAGAGCTAATTATGAGGCAAAATAGTGTTCCAAATAAGGTTTACTATGTTATTTTTTGAAGTTATATTTAAAATGGATATCATCAATATGTAAGTGTCACTGGGTATTTCTCTTGGTATAACCCAAAGCCATCTAGGTATTGGTGGATTTCTTTGCTCTACAATTACATTTTTAACAATGTATGTAAATTCATCAGCAAGAAGTTTTAACTTTTATTGCTGTAGCACTTATTTATCTATTTTGTTTCCCCATGAACATGTTTATTTGAATAAATTTTCTAGACTTCTGAAATTAATGCCACTTTTTAACAAAAGTGCAGGTAGAGACATCTTTAATTTTTTAGCTATTTAGATGTGCAACAGAATCAGTGAGTCTGTGATTTTTCTGCCCTCTGGTTCTTTTGTCATTTTCAGTGTTGTTGGATCTTTGCATCAATGTGATTTCTGCTTCTAATCTGCTCTATGTTTATGCAGACCTCTAAAACAGTGTCCCTGAGGGTGGTTCCAATCTTTCTCACAAAGCATAAAACCACCATAAACTTCAGCACTCGTCAAGGTGGGCTTTCTGCATGGACTGTGTGAAATCCACTGAGCTCCCTCTTTTGCTTTCTCTTGTGCTTTACATCTATGTTCTGCCTGAGGTGGATTTTTCTGTTTTAGTTATTGTCTACTTTCAGAATAATCCTTAGGTATTATAAAATATACCTTGCTTAACTGTAGATTATATGATTTTTGTTTTTATTGCTATTTTAAATTTATTACTAAATAAAATCATTATAATGTGTCATGAACCTAAAGAATAGCATAAGATACAGCTGTGTGTTAAAAGATATAAACTCTTGGGTGTATTTAGATGCGTAAACTTCATATATTTCTGCCAAATAAAAACTAGCTGGGTGCTGGTGGTTCATGCTTATGATTCTAGCTACAGGGGAAGCAGAGATCAGGAGAATCACACTTTGAGGCCAGCCTGGGCAAATAGCGAGACTCTATGTTGAAAATAACACAAACACACACAAAAAAAAAGACTGGACAAGTGGCTCAGGTGGTAGAGTGACTACCTAGCAAGTGTGAGGCCCTGAATTCAAATCCCAGTACCACCAAACAAAATTTGCCAAATAAAAACTAAATTTAATTGTAGACTTACATTTTAAATAATTGTGTCCAATATTTCCAGGTTTCTTAGGAATTTTTACTTTTTATTTTTATGATCTGTCTTTAGATATTCTTATTTGATATCTTATATCAGTTTTAAGGAAAGCAGTCTCTCCCTAAGGTTGCAAAGCCTTTATCTCACACAGTATTGTCTTACATGGGATGATAGTAAATTATATCCTAATAATAGAGCATACTTTTGTCTGACTTCTTAATTTTTAAGCCTCTTTTGTTTGCCCCTGAAAAGATATATTTTAGTGTTTATAAGTATATGATGATCTTATAGAAATTGACTAATTAAAAGTCTTGCAATTCAACATAACCTAGAAAGCAGTTAGATGAATTTGATGAGTTAGAAAAGTGAAAATTAGTATGAAGGCAATTTAATCAAATCAGTAACTGGAAAAATTGATCAAATATTGTTAATGCATTACAGACATAGAAAGGTTATCATCCTTTAAATAAGAGTTTTGTTTTAGATTTTTGATATAAAATTGAATGATTCCAATTCATTCTCAGCTTCTTTTACTGTGAATAGTTTAAATTCTTTTTGAATCAGTGTTGGTATTCTTCTTGAAGCAAGTGAAGATGTACACTGTATGACATGTCTCTGGGGAAAGAATAGAGGAAAGGGACGCCATTTTCTCCTTTACTATGACTTTAATAAGAGGTCAGGAAGCTTGTTGGAAATATCTCATAATTTCTACTAAATGAAAAAAATATTTTTACTGTGGTACGTTTTGGAAATGGCAATTTAAGATTAAACATAGCTAGTAATCTGTTTTTAAGAAGGACATTAGAAATACATATTTTAAATTATAGGGCTTGTATATTAACTATTGTATTTTTCTGCTTTGTGGATAACAAAATTATTTTTGTCTTCTCAGGAAATTGTGGCTGCAGAGAAGAAGAAGCAGGCTGTTGCAGAGCAAATGATGATAGACCACTTATCTAGGTGAGAGAACTGGTAACAGAATTCCATTCTGAAAGTTTTCAGAAAATTTCTTTTCACTAAATTTCACTCACATTCCTGGTCAATCAATGCATAGCTTACATTGTATATTCCCTCACTCTTACCATTTTAGTAATTTTTCAGAGCACTCTTAGACCACTACAAATACCCTAATGTTCATTTAGATACACAAAAGATGGCGAATAGCCAAGGCAATACTGAGCAAAAAGAGCTATGCTGGAGGTATCACAATATCCCACTTCAAACTATACCACAGAATAATAGCAATAAAAACAGCCTGGTACTGGCACAAAAACAGACATGAGGACCATGGAACAGAATAGAAGATGCCCTCTGGACTGAATCTGTTCCACCCTCCTGTTCTCCGTTTTTGTTGAAGAAAAAACACATAAGATAAAAAAGAAAAACACAGCGTCTTTGCCAGCTTGAGATGAAGATAGCTATACAGGGAGATTCCTTGAATTGTTTCCATGCACATGTGTATTACAACCCAAATTGGTTCATGTCAACTAGACTTCTTCACTATTTCTTAGTCCTCTTTCCATAGTGGCCTCTGCAGTTTAAGATTACTATATTCGCTCCTCTACAGTGAGCACATCAACCACATTCAAGTTTTTGGTTTCATTCCCTTTCCCTATTTCTCCCATGCACGCTCTCCCCTTAGTGTGTGACCCATGTCCAATAATATTACTGCATTTGTTTTAGGTCCATAATCTGCATATGAGGGAGAATATGCGATTTTTGGCCTTCTGAGCCTGACAAACTTTGCTTAAGATGATGTTCTCCAGTTCCATCCATTTTCCTGCAGATGACAAAATTTCATTCTTTTTTGTGGCTGAATAAAATTCCATTGTGTATAAATACCACATTTTCTTAATCCATTCATTGGTAGTGGGACACCTTGGCTGTTTCCATAGCTTGGCTATTGTGAATAATGCTGCAATAAACATGGGTGTGCAGGTGCCTTTGTAGTAAACTGAGTCACACTCCTTTAGATATATCCCTAGGAGTGGTACTGCTGGATCATATGGCAGATCTATGTTTAGTTTTTTAAGGAGCCTCCATATTGTTTTTCAAAATGGGAACCAGCAGTGTGTAAGGGTTCCTTTTTCCCCACATCCTCACTAACATTTGTTGTCATTGGTGTTCTTGATGGTAGCTATTCTAACAGGAGTGAGGTAAAATATTAGTGTGGTTTTGGTTTGCATTTCCTTTATGGCCAGGGATGGTGAGCATTTTTTCATGTGTTTTTCGGCATTTGGACTTCTTCCTTTGAAAAAGTTCTGTTTAATTCAGTTGCCCACTTCTTTATTGGTTCATTGATTTTTGGGGAGTTTGATTTTTTTGAGGTCCCTGTATATTCTAGTTATCAGTCCCTTGTCTGCTGTATAGCTACAAAAGACTTTCTCCCATTTTGTGCGTGCCTCTTCAATTTAGATATTTCATTTGTTGTGCAGAGGCTTTTTAATTTCATGTAATCCCATTTGTCAAACCTTTCTCTTAGCTGCTGGGCTGCTGGAGTTCTACTGAGGAAGTCCTTGTCTATACCTATTACTTCCAAAGTATTCCCTGCTCTTTTCTGTATTAACTGCAAGATTTCAGGCCTGATGTTAAGGTCCTTAATACACTTTGAGTTGATGCTAGTACAGGTGACAGGCATGGATCTAACTTGAGTTTTCTGCAAGCAGATAACCACTTTTCTCAGCAACATTTGTTGAAGAGGCTGTCTTCATTATGTGTTTTTGGCACCTTTGTCAAAAATTAGGTGGGCATAGCTGTGTGGATTCATATCCAGGTCTTCTTTTCTGTTCCACTGGGATTTTGATGGGAATTGCATTGGACATGTAGATTACTTTTGGTAGTATAGTCATTTTTACTATGTTGATTCTGCCAACCCATGAGCATGGGTGATCTTTCCACTTTTTTTTTTTTTAGAATAATGCAGTTTATTAAAGTTATTTCAAAAGAGAGAGATAAGAGTAATAGAGGGATTAATTTTATCAAAGTACATTATATGGAAAGATCACAGTGAAACCCATTTACACAAGTAAAATAAGATGATAACAATGTTAAATGTTTTAAAAATGACTAAAAATTTTCTGATTATCACATCCACTCCCAACCTTTCATTTTTTTTTTCTTTTATTATTCATATGTGCATACAAGGCTTGGGTCATTTCTCCCCCCTGCCCCCACCCCCTCCCTTACCACCCACTCCACCCCCTCCCTCTCCTCCCCACCCCCCCAATACCCAGCAGAAACTATTTTGCCCTTATTTCTAATTTTGTTGTAGAGAGACTATAAGCAATAATAGGAAGGAACAAGGGTTTTTGCTGGTTGAGATAAGGATAGCTATACAGGGAGTTGACTCACATTAATTTCCTGTGCGTGGGTGTTACCTTCTAGGTTAATTCTTTTTGATCTCACCTTTTCTCTAGTTCCTGGTCCCCTTTTCCTATTGGCCTCAGTTGCTTTTAAGGTATCTGCTTTAGTTTCTCTGCATTAAGGGCAACAAATGCTAGCTAATTTTTTCGATGTCTTACCTATCCTCACCTTTCCTTGTGTGCTCTCGCTTTTATCATGTGCTCAAAGTCCAATCCCCTTGTTGTGTTTGCCCTTGATCTAATGTCCACATATGAGGGAGAACATACGATTTTTGGTCTTTTGGGCCAGGCTAACCTCACGCAGTATGATGTTCTCCAATTCCATCCATTTACCAGCGAATGATAACATTTCGTTCTTGGCTGTTTCCATAACTTGGCTATTGTGAATAGTGCCGCAATAAACATGGGTGTGCAGGTGCCTCTGGAGTAACCTGTGTCACAGTCTTTTGGGTATATCCCCAAGAGTGGTATTGCTGGATCAAATGGTAGATCAATGTCTAGCTTTTTAAGTAGCCCCCAAATTTTTTTCCAGACTGGTTGTACTAGTTTACATTCCCACCAACAGTGTAAGAGGGTTCCTTTTTCCCTGCATCCTCGCTAACACCTGTTGTTGGTGGTGTTGCTGATGATGGCTATTCTAACAGGAGTGAGGTGGAATCTTAGTGTGGTTTTAATTTGCATTTCCTTTATTGCTAGAGATGGTGAGCATTTTTTCATGTGTTTTTTGGCCATTTGAATTTCTTCTTTTGAGAAAGTTCTGTTTAGTTCACTTGCAAGGCTACTGATTTTTATAAGTTGATTTTGTATCCTGCTACTTTCCTGAATATGTTTATAGTGACTAGGAGTTTTGGGGTGGATTATTTTGTGGTTTTTGTCTTACTTCTATTAATGTGTATTTACATTTATTGATTTGCATGTGTTGAGCCACCCCTGCATCCCTGGGATGAAGCCGACTTGGTCATGGTGAATGATCTTTCTGATATGTTGTTGGATTTGGTTTGCCATTTTTTATTGAGGATTTTGCTTCAATGTTCATTAAGGAGATTGGCCTGTAGTTCTCCTTTGTTGATGTGTCCTTGTCTGGTTTTGGGATGAGTGTAATACTGGCTTCATAGAATAAGTTAGGCAATGTTCCTTCCCTTTCTATTTCATCAAAAAGTTTAAGGAGTGTTGGTTTTATTTCTTTAAAGGTCTGTAGAATTCAGCTGAGAATCTAGCAGGTGCTAGACTGTTTTTCTTTGGGAGACTCTTTATTGATGCTTCAATTTCATTACATGTTATAGATCTGTTTAGGTGATTAATATCCTCTTGGTTCAGTTTTGGATGGTCATAAGTATCTAGAAATTGTCCATTTCTTCAAGATTTTCCAACTTACTGTAATATAGGTTCTCAAAGTAGTCTTTGTCCTGGATTTCCTTGGTGTTTGTTGTTATCTCCCCTTTTAATTTGTGATTTTACTAATTTGGGTCTTTTCTCTCCTTATTTTAGTTAGATTTGCCAGGGGCTTGTGAATCTAGTTTATTTTTTCAAAGAACCAGCTTTTTGTTTCATTGATTCTTTGTTATTTTTGTCTCTATTACATTAATTTCAGCCCCTATTTTTATATTTCTCTCCTTCTGCTTGTTGTGAGTTTTGCTTGTTCTTGTTTTTCTAGAAGTTTGAGATGTAGCATTAGCTCATTTATTTGAGCTCTCTCTGTCCTTTTAATATATGCACTCATAGGTATAAACTTTCCTCTTAGGACTGCCTTTGCTGTGTCCCATAGGTTCTGGTAGGTTGTGATTTCATTTTCATTAAATTCCAGGAACTTTTTGATTTCCTCTCTTATTCTGTGAACCACTGATGGTTGGACATTGTGTTGTTCGGCCTTCATTTGTTTGCATATCTTCTTCTGGTGCTTTTGTTGTTGAGTTCTAGTTTTATTGCACTGTGATCAGATAGAATGCAGGGGTTATTTCAATTTTCCTATATCTGTTGAAGCTTGTTTTGTGCCCTAAGATATGACCTATTTTGGAGAAAGTTCCATGGACTGCTGAGGAGAGTGTATATTGTGCTATTGCTGGATGAAATATTCTGTAGACATCAAGGAAGTCCATTTAATCTGTGGTATCTTTTGGTATAGGATTTTTTTGTTGATTTTTTTTTGTGTGTGGATGACATATCTATTGGTGATAGAGGGCTATTAAAATCTCCCATTACCACTGTGTTGGTGTCTATATGTGCTTTTAAGTCCTTTAGTGTATGTTTGATGAAGTTTGGTGCACTAACACTGGGTGCATATAGGTTGATAATTGTTATTTCCTTTTGATGTATTGCCCCTTTTATTAGTATGAAGTGACCTTCTTCCTTCCTTTCTTCTTCTCCCCATTGCTGTAATTGGTGCTGAGCAACTATGTTCTTGATTGGCTATTTGGTGGTTTTATTTGCCTGTTTTCTTTCCCTTGATTTAATTTTTGTGTTGTGACTGACTTAGTTGTTAGCTAGGTTGATGTGCTATTTCTGTCCCTGGCCTGGAGGTATAAATTAGCAATATCAAATTCATAGGTTCAATGCCGGACCAGTTGTTTACCTATTACATATTAAACCCCTTTGTGATAG